TGTGTGCCTTGGCAAACCAAAAAGAGAAATCTCCAACGAGGCGTTCTGGGCAGCATAGACAGGTATTTTCTGTGTTAGAGTTTTACTCGCTACAGGGTGTACTTTGAGGGTTTGTGGCTCTGCAGACCGTTTACATGCAGAAAAAGCTACATAACACACAAGGGGACGGGTAATAACCAGAAAAGCATGATGGGACCTTTAACATGAATACACCAAAAATAATAAAATGCAATTTAGGGTGATACAAGTGTCATAAATGACATTTACTTAAATAAAAGTACCAATACAAACGGGTAAAAATACTGCATTGCATCAGCAAAAGTATCAGCAAAATATACTAAATATAAAATGATTGCTACGAAAGCGTATATGTGGAAGGACTTGCTGTTTTTAACTACATTACATTGGGTAAATATACTGTTGATTAATTTAATGTGTAATATATGATCGTTTGGTATTTGTAAAATCTTAATCTGCAATGTGATAGCTGTCAGAATAATGTTTGAGAGTAATAAGTACAAACTAGTTATGGTACTGCTTTTTTAAAGATCTAGGTCTTGTATTGATATAGATACATTGCAAATAAAAATATACTCATTATATAAAAGTCAAGGACATTCACTGACAACATTTGATCCATTTAGATTGAAAAGGAGTCTTTCAAATGGTGAGATAATGATGTGTGGTGGTGCAGGGTCACACAGCAGCAGCAGACAGTATGGATCCTCCACTAACCCACTGACCTGCATTGCAGAGGCACATTTCTGCTACGTGATCTGTTTGTTAATAAATGATGAAAACGGGTGAATCTGAGGCCATGCTTCCCCCTAGTGTTCACGCACAGGAACTTCACTATATACAATTTGGTCAGTGTGCAAATAAAAAATAGTCTCTTCTGATATGAAATAAAGTCAGAATAATGTTCATCATTTTTTTGTGTTATAATCATGATGGCTCTTTTGACCAAACTGTATTATTACACAATATTGATATATTCTCTAATATCACTAATGAATACCTGTAGCCAATTTTATTAACTACAGATCAGTAACTTCATCATATGATTGTTTTATTTAATTCAATTAGTGTATCAACAGGGCACACAGTGTCATAGAGTAGAAGAATAAAGTTGTACAAAATGAAATACTCAAGTATAGTACAAGTACCTTAAAGTAAAGGCTTTGTTTGATCAGAAGATATTGGAACTAATCTGAATAGGCCAAATAACTACTAACTAAAGCTGTCAAATAAATGCAGTGGAGTACAAAGTACAATATTTGCCTCCGAAAAGTAGGAATATAAGGATTTTATAAAAGGAAGTACCTCAAAGTCGTGCTATGTTTCAACCACTGATTTATACCATCAGAAAGGAGACATAAAACAGAGCTAATAAATGATTACATATTACTTTAATTTTCTAGTCAGACGTGTTTTAGGGTGGGTTTGGGGAATATTAAACAATGTAGTAGTTATATAGTAATCCTGGAAGTAGCCTTTTGAACCTGGTGAGTGATTCCTGTCTGTGTTTATTTATTTTATTCACATGCAGAAACATATTGTTCTATAGTTTTAAGCCTAACTAATCATGGTTTAATATCATATGGGCTCGTTAATTATAGAGGCTGCGACGCCATTGCAAACAGCTGTTACACTCAGTGTTTGTGGAGCCCATTGCAGACAAAAGCACATTTTGTTACGGTGAGTTAGCTGTTGCACGATTTGGTTCTAAATGACTGAGTTTGCACAACAGAACCCACAACTGGACAGGTTAAAACCATTAACATAAATCCATTTAACTAAGTCTGTTAAACTTTACCTTTTATGTCCCCGGAGGCACATAAGGTCATCGTCAAACTAGTCACAATGCATTTATTCCGCTTGTCAATTTCAAAATAAAAGTCGTATAAAACTAGTTTCACTCCTGCAAGCGATTTCATTGGATGGAATATACATAGTCTTATGACCATCAAGTAGCCTAAATACATAAATGCATCAACTAAAACATTTATTTAAGGTCTACTTACTAACTTTTCTGGATCTTCCAACATATCTGACATTTGTCAACTGGGCCATCTCCAAGACAACTGAGCCATCCATTGGAGAAGATTATGGGATGTAGTAGAAAGCACTGGAGACATAAATTAGTAATTGGACTTTGAGTTAAAAAGGAGCAAAAAATAGTATCATATCAAAACTATTAATAAGACTATTGTAACAAATTGAAAATAAAGACATATTTACACAAGTAGGCTATTAATAGGCAAGATACTGAGAACAGTAAATTAAATAGGACATACTATATTCAGAATGGAGAGCTGTGCACATTTAAAAAGAGGTAGTGTGGAGCAGAGGGCTAATAACAGAGAGGCTAATATATTATCAATAACTTCAAAACGCTGTCACACCAAAGCTCTTTAAGTGGATAAAAACATTGAATAATAATCATATACAATGTGCAGGGTTAACATATATATTTTCTTTTTATTTCGGATTTAACCCATAAGGACCCACCGTGACACGGGTGTCACATGAACTTTAAATGTTCTGGAAAGTTCCTTATACAGCTTTAGCCTTGTTTGTATCTCATGAAGTCCCCAACTGGCACACACTGAACAGTCTGGTGGGTCATGGTCCAGGTCATGTGACTTTGTGTTACCATAACAACATGTCCAAGATGTCCATGTGCAGCTAGGCTAACACGCGTGACAGAACGAGCTACATTTCAAAAGCTTCTTTTATTTGCTAAAGGTACAATTCAAGTCATTTAAGAATTAAAATGTTTACATAACATGTCCTTTATTACATTTAACCTGTTGTGGAAACATTTCTTGATCAAATTGATATGAAACAAATGAGACAAACATCGCTGTGACACTGGTGTCACATTGGGACTTTAACCCTAAACTTTCACAGTAAACCCTGAGTGACATGCACAATTAGAAATATTATTATGATCTTCTGATTCAGTTATATTTAGTTAATATATTCTTTATTCTTCAATTAAAAGAATGTTCAAACTAATTTAAACCAAAAAAATCATCCTCATTAATGAAGTTATTTAAGAGTTATTTTACCATTAAAGCCCAATGTGACATAGGCTATGTCACTAGGTGGGGTTACTTGTCAGACATGTGTTCTTGTCTAAATTATGTTCCCCTTAATTTCCCCAAAAGTAGAAATGGGTCCGGGTTCTTAAGGGTTAAGTAGGCACAAGCACCACTTCCGGTTGTACCCTGACTAACCTGTGGCAGCTTGACTCAGCAGGTTTATATTTATCGTCCAGCGGCGGTGTGACAGGAGGAGATCCGAGCTGAGTGTCACAGAGCCGGCGTGACCTCGGCCGAACAACCGCTGACTCTCCGTCCTCCCCCCGCGGTGCAAACATGGCACTGAGCCGGCTGGAAAAGGCCCAGGTGTGGCTTTTCAAGGCGGTCATGGGGCTGCTCTTCATGCTGTTCCGACTCCTGTCGCCCCGGAGCACCTCCATGCCCGGGAAGAAGCTGCCGCCCGTCAGCGACTCTCTGCTGCTCGCCTCCGCCACGCAGCTCGCCAAGAAGATCCGGAGGAAAGAGGTGTGTTCCCGGGGTCAAACTGCGGGACAACCGCTGCTGGAAACACGAGATTTAGCGTGTTTGATAGACCAATATTTTTTTCTTATTTATATCTTTTAGGTTAATGTCGTTTGAGATGATCAAACTGTTCATAAGCAGTTGCATGATAGTCTCAACATCTGGCTTTTGTCAGCATAAATATTTACAATTAGTAGAAAATACGTTTTTCAGCCAAAGCTTTCTAAACTCTTGTGCTATCCTAGCACATAGGTAGGATATTTATCCTACCTATGTGCTTTTGTATTTCCTTTATTATGATGCTATCACACCTGTGGAATAACAACATCTTTATATACAGATTATAAAAGGGACACATACATTGTTTTACAATGTCATTAAAGCCTGTTATATAGCATGAGATATGAAGTATATCTTTACAGCATCAGACAGGTATGGGTGTGGTATTGTGTGCATTACAGTGTTAGGCAAATTGTAGTATAAGTGCATTACAAAAAGCTTCACAAATTGTGTAATCATTGTATTTGATGGCAGTATTTCCTGCAGTTTGCTTTTATGCAAATGTCATACAACTATTTGAGCAGTTAGTCTTTTTTAGAATATATAATTGGTCCAATTCATTCAAAGAAATGCACTAGTTTAATCTTGTGAAATGTGCATGAGTAATAGGTGGGCTGATTCCATAACTTGCACAATAATGTCTAATGGAATCACTTCAGCCATACTACATATCCACACCCCGCTCTTTGTATGCAGGTGAACCTGTTTCTTATTTCATCTGGACGAATACAGTGGAGATTTGGCCCATTTCTGTCAGTTTGTTTTGTTTTCCTGTTTTGAAACGTGTGTTGACGTTTTCCTTCTGTTTCTGCAGGTGTCCAGTGTGGAGGTGGTGCGGGCTTACATCGACAGGATCCAGGAAGTCAACCCTTTTGTGAACGCTGTAATAAAAGACAGGCAAGATAGAACTATTCTTCTTTATCTGATTAGCTGGTTCTCAAATGTTACGGTTCAAAGAAACATTGTAAGTAAAAAAGGCTTTTTTTCACCCTTTTTCTGAACATTACAAAAGACCATTAAATAGTTATAGAGAGATGAACCTTAAGATACATTTAGAATCAGAATAATAGAATTGTGCTTCTATATTGTGCCATTTTATCAATATTTACTTACTACTCCTTGTGGGTTTTTGCAGCTAAATTATTATACATTTTTTTATTCTGCAATTTTCTTTATACTTCTGTACAATATGTACTTGTCCTATTGATGATCCTAAATTAAACAGATTTGGGTCATTCATTCTGCATCCAGGTTTGATGCTGCCCTCCTGGAGGCGAGCCAGGTGGACAAGCTGATCGAGGAGGAGACCGGGGGAGAGGAGGTGCTGGAGGACCGGCTGCCTCTACTGGGAGTCCCCCTCTCTGTCAAGGAGTCCTTCGCCCTGCAGGGTAACCTCCAGAACCCTCCTGATTACATACATCAATAACAAGAAGCTTTGATAGTTAAAGCACACAGCTCAGCATTTGACCACCTGTCCGTCCTGCAGGCATGCCCTTTACCACCGGTCTGGTCTCCAGGAGAGGAGTGGTGGCCACTGTGGACGCTCCTCCTGTGGCCCTGCTGAAGAGAGCGGGGGCCATCCCATTGGGCGTCACCAACACCCCCGAGCTGTGCATGTGGTCCGAGACCCACAACCATCTGAGCGGCATCACCAACAACCCGTACGACCTGGAGAGGATAGTGGGAGGAAGCTCAGGTAGCAACTGCTGCTTGAACTTTTAACTGAGGGGGAGTTTTTACAAAGGACTTCTCTTTTAGGCAAATGTTTTTCAAGTCAAGAAGCATTCATATAAGAACGGATATCTTTCTGTTTGTCTTCATGGATAGCTCTGGCGTCACCTGATAATCATATGACACTACATTGCATACACTAACACAGAGGCTCTGACTTAGGCCAACAACAGTACGCAATTAATCATAGCCATCAAGTCTAAAAACAGATAATGATCGGAAAATATTCACGAACGAATCATGTGTGACAAACATTTGGGTCAGGAGAAAATATAAGTGTAAATGAAACTGTTGGAGCAAGGACTCGGAACACAAGGATAACCCTGGAGAGCTCAAACGGGTGTCGGAGTTGTATCTCGATGCCTGAACGCTGACAATGGGGGTAGAGTGGGTAACAGGCCGATATTTCCTCAACAATAAGTTAGTGGTAAACACACACAAATATTTCATTCACCATGTCTCATTTTAAATGTACCCAGAAGTAAAACAATGACATTTTCTACATCTTCTGAAATATCAGAAAGTGGAAGTGAAAATGTAGGGGAACTTTCGACCACAAGGCAGTTGATTCAGCAGATGAACTTATCTCTCTGTTTCCGTCCCCCTTCCTCCCCTCTCAGGTGGGGAGGGCAGTATTCTGGCAGCAGCAGGTGCCGTCATCGGCGTGGGATCAGACATCGGCGGCAGCATCCGTATGCCGTGTTTCTTCAATGGGATATTTGGCCATAAAACCACTCCTGGTGAGAGAACACTGAATGTAAATTGAACCATCATGCAAAAAACAGTGCATATACATATTGGACACTGTGATGTGTTTCTGCAGGTGTCGTGTCCCCGGACAACCAGTACCCCCCCCCCACTGGCAGACATGCAGAGTACGTCAGCAGCGGACCCATGTGCCGCTACGCTGAAGACCTGCTGCCCATGCTCAAGATCATGGCGGGACCCAACGCTCACATGTAAGAGCTCACAGTCTTATCTAACTCACATTCAAAGCAGGTGTTATTTAACAGTTTGTATAAGCACATTCTGAGATGCAAATGTGGCCCGCTGCACATCCATACCGGAGTGTTGCCTTATAAAGCTGCTGTGGGAAAGTGTGTGTCACAAAATGTTTTCCAAAGAGTGAAAAGGAGGGGCACATTATGTCCCAAAACACCAGACAGAAAGATAAGTAACTAAGTATGACCCGAAGAAAAAAAGAATACATCCGTGAACCTTGGAAAAAGTGTGACAGACAAAGCAGTCCATATCAATCCAATGAATCTTTGTTACGAGTATCCATCCCAACCGGTCTTCCTCAGGTAGATGTGAGTGTGTAAATATGCCATTTAGAACTGTAAATAATGCTGTATTCCTTTAAACCCTTATCCCTTAAGTGAATGCAAAGAGCTTGAACCACAGTCCAAAGTGCTTAACAGGGCCAACAGCTGACGGTGTGTAACGGCTCAACACTAATGTTCAACCTACAATACTTCTTTACATGTGTCCTCAGGTTGTCCTTAAACACGAAGGTGGAGCTAAAGAAGCTTCGGTTCTTCACCATCCCTCATGATGGCGGCTCTCTGATGACATTCCCCATCAGCAAAGACCTCCTGGAGATTCAGAGGAAGGTGCGTTGAATCTGCGCGCTGGAGAAACGGGGCTTATCGGGAGTTGTTTTTAGATTTAAAGATCGTCATGTGATGTTCTCCAGGTGGTGCAGCGTCTGGAGGCCGACCTCGGAGTGGAGGTGCAGGAAGTGAATTTCCCTGAGCTCCGCTACAGCTTCCAGATCTGGAACACACACATGGGTCTTCCTGACGAGAAGGGCAAGGTGGGTCGAGCAGAGTGCCCGCTGCACGCCTGTACAGAACAGTGTGCCTTAGGGAGAACATTTAATATAATATGAGTCTGAGTCACAGCACCTATTGTGGTCTGCTGTCAGGAAAGGAATCACTAATCCGTTTAACTGCCACAGCATAACACACACACACACACACACACACACACACACACACACACACACACACACACACACACACACACACACACACACACACACACACACACACACACACACACACTACTGCAGGGTCCTTTGTTAGTCTGATAAGTCATTATCATCCTGGTCTGACATATCTTACTATTTATTTAAATAATTGTATTTGACAGTTTAAAAGGATAAACTATTTTCTTTCTCTTTTTTCTGCATTTCTCTGAAAGCTTTAGTTTGTGACTTCTTATTTAAAAACATTGGTTAGCTTTAAAATTCAATTCACTGTTAAAGAGTAAACCATGCGGGCCCTGATGTGTTGCAAAGCGGCTTAACCATTATAACAGAACAGCAGAACATTACTGTACGCCGGGTTGGAGGGTTAATAACTTAATTAGTTCCTGAATACTGAATACATGGCTCTGAAAGCAATCCGAATACAGTTACGTGTTCAGATTACTTTTCGAATACTTTTGGAATACTTTCTTTTTCCATAACAGATGGGTATGTTTTGGTGAACAGGAGACACTTATTTTACTGTTTTAATGGCTCATCAAGAACTCAAACACAACATCTTGGTGTCATTCTGGAAAATAGTCCTTTAGTCCTGTCTGAAACCTTCCTTAGAATATTTTATGAATTGTAAGGTGTCCTTTGGTAATAACTTTAAAAAGTTGTTCCAGTCACTTGCCCCATGCATTCAGCAGCAGCAGGCCATTCACTTTGATTTGTTCCCGTTATGAAATGTCACCATTTCAACAACAAAGAAATGCTACTTAAACGTTATCTTGCACATTTTATCTAACAATCTCCGTTTCTAACTTTCAATATATTGACACGCTGCATCTCTCTCTCTCTCTCTCTCTCTCTCTCTCTCTCTCTCTCTCTCTCTGTCTGTCTGTCTGTCTGTCTGTCTGTCTGTCTGTCTGTCTGTCTGTCTGTCTGTCTGTCTGTCTGTCTGTCTGTCTGTCTGTCTGTCTGTCTGTCTGTCTGTCAGATTACTCGTTTTTCAAATATAACGCGAGCAGTTACTTGATTTTTGTATTCTGATTACGTAACGCTGTATTCCGTCACAACCCGACCCTGTGTGTACGCTAGTATCAACAAGCCACTACATGTGAAAGAGGGGTATTACTGCAGTAAAGAAAAACCCTGTGAGATTAAACAGATTATAGTGACACAATCACTTCTTTATTCTGCTTTACTTTTTCTATCTTTTTTCTTTTAACTCAAAGCAATATTTATATAATAATATTTATTATGCTCATTTTCAGGTTCATATTAGTATTTTGTGACATTTACATGCTTTAAGTACAAAAAGGTCTTTAGTTTTCTCATACCGCCTGCTCGATGTAATTAGTACTTTTTGTGTTTTTTCCCTGCCTCAGCCTCCTCAGGCGTTTTCAGAGCTGATGGGGGAACCAGGACGTCCCATATGGCCTCTGTGGGAGCTGCTGAAATGGATGGTGGGAAAATCCGAGCATACCATGGCTGCTATCGGTAAGAGGGGTACAAAAACATTGGTTATTATCATTTATTTTGTCTGGTATTAATCAGCATTAATCCCGTTTTTAGGCCTGGCCCTGATTGAGATGACGCACTCCAAACCGTCGCCCTTCATCCTCCAGCAGAAGGAGAAGCTGCAGAACAAGGTGGACGAGCTGCTGGGCGCTGACGGGGTCTTCCTGTACCCCACGCACCCCAGGGTGGCCCCCAAACACCACCACCCTCTCTTCAGACCCTTCGACTTCACCTACACAGGTCAGTCCTCGTCATACTTTTGACATTCCCGCCTCAAGTTTTAGTATTAAGTCATTTTAGTCAAGCATTTCTTAAGCATTGGTTAATAAAAAGGCTTACTTTTCTCCAGTCTGCAATGACATTAGTTTTTACTGTTACTGTTTTTGTGTTGACTCGAACAAGGCTTCCCTGATTATAAGGCAATTTTTCAAAAAATATGTTCTTGCAGATTAATAATAAGAAATGACACAAAAGCCCAACATAATATAATTGTTGGGAACTCAATTGGGACTTTGTCAACATCTCTACAATTCAGAGACTATTATAATAATGGCTTCTAAATCCATCAGAAAGCTTGACAAACACAAAACTTCACATTTGGGTTCCAGGATAACTGCCGTCCTCCTGTAAAGTTTGCTGCTATGGACAGTCCTGCACTCATGTACATTTCTTAGTGACTGTTTTGTGTATATTGATTGTTGTGCTTGTATTTATGTCTTTAAGTGTGAATATGTATAAATGTGTCTGTTGATTGTGTGTATACATATTTCTATATACAGGACTGTCTCAGAAAATTAGAATATTGTGATAAAGTTCTTTATTTTCTGTAATGCAATTAAAAAAACAAAAATGTCATACATTCTGGATTCATTACAAATCAACTGAAATATTGCAAGCCTTTTATTATTTTAATATTGCTGATTATGGCATACAGCTTAAGAAAACNCCCCCCCCTACCTGCAGCTATAATCAACATCCTGGGTCTGCCGGTCACTCAGTGCCCCCTGGGTCTGAACGAGGAGGGTCTTCCCCTGGGGCTGCAGGTGGTCGCTGGAAAGCTGCAGGACCACCTGACCCTCGAGGTGGCTCTCTTCCTGGAGAAAACGTTCGGAGGCTGGAGGGACCCTGGGGCCAAATAAAACCACACACACACACAACCAAATCTCCAGACTGAAGATTGTGGGACTTATCTGCCTTGCTGCTTGCTGTAGTTCACAAAGGGGTACAATCAGATCACTGGATGTTGAAGTGACGAGATTTTTTGCACTACTGAGTTGTACCAATAAATGTCAGTCATACTTTTATAATTTACTCAGTTCAAATCATGAGCACAAGCTTTAAAAAAGATAGATTTTCACGTGTGTGAGTGTTCATATCAACACACAAAACAAGGCTCTTTGCTGTTGGTGAATGGGTCTCCAATATGTTTAACAACAATGCAGTGTAGATACCTACCTCTTATAGAACATGGACAGTTCATTTTTCCAAGTTTTGTTTTTTGTCTGCAGTTACACATACAAAGCGAACATTCAAGGCTTAATTCTACATTTTGGATCAATAGAAAACAACCTTTCTTAGGAGGTGAGATTATGACCAGGAATACTTCAATTGCAAAAAAACAGCATTGTCACCGTTATAATTGTCTATGCATTAGAGTTGTCATGACGTTTTCCATCATAGTCATGGAAAAGTGATAATAGACTATTTGACCACAGCCATGCTCTCACACCTGTGTAGATGTAGAGATAAATAAGACCGATTAGGAATGATAAAACCACTCTAAGTATGGTGAAATTGTTTGAATACACTGACAAAATCTTAGTTGTGTGGTAATGTGAATGTCACAGAATAATAATTGTGCCTGGTTTATGCTGCACCTCATTTGTTTCTTTTAATAAAAAACGGAATATTTGTTCTTATTTATAACTTCAGCAAAAATATTTGTGGTTCTTTTCACTCACTCAAAACAAAAAACAAATGAAATTCCCAATTGCTATTTTTCACTGCTTGCTAAACAGTAAAGAACAACATTTTTCTTAACTTAAAGTGGACCTATCATGCTATATTTGAATAATATAGTGTTGGACCATACC